GGTGCTTTCGGTGCTGCCGAGAGCGGGGGCGCGCCCGGCGGGCGCAGCCAGCAGCGGCGCCTGATCGTTAACCTCGCGCCGACGAGCGCTGGGCAGACTCGCGCTGGGGGACGTCGACAAGCTGCCTATGCCGAGAGAGTGCACCCAGGCTGTGCTAATGGACGACGAGGTCGCCCTCCTTTCCGGGGATGACATTTCGGGGTGCTTCCACTTGTGCGTGCTGCCGCCGCAGTGGCGGCGGTGGTTCACTTCCTCGAAGCCTCGGCGCCAGTGGGTCAACAAGACGTGGTGCGAGGAGATGCGTGTCTGCGCGACGGTCATCCCAATGGGGTGGTTGTCGGCGGCCGGAGTGGTGCCGCGCGTGCACAGGCAGATCGCCGCGGGCGGTTTGCGCGCCGGCGCTCGGTTGGCTGCTGGCCAGGAACTGCGGCGAGACCGGCCCTTCCCTGTCCGTGAGGGGCCCACTCAGAGGCGGTGCTGGAGCACGCGCGTCGACGACTCGGAGGAGAGCGGGTTCGTCAAGACCTCCAAGTGGGCAAACGCGCAGGGGGCGCTCTCTGAGCACCAGGCCGCGTTGCGGCGAGCGCTCGAGGCGATGTCGGTACCCGTCTCGCTCAAGAAGGGGGTCGTCCGCTCCGCGCTTGCATTGCGCAAAGGGGTGGGCGTCGACGGCCTTGAGGGCCGAGCCGCGCCGCCCATCGAGAGGCTCCTGGAGCATGGATCACTCACTAAGTGGCTCTTGGACCAGAAGGACTACAGTCTCTTTGCGATGCATGCGCTGCGCGGACGCTGGGCGTCAAACTTCACGCGCAGGCGCCGAGCGTTGAGTTGCCTCGACAAGGCGTGGAGGTGGATCGGCAGGAGAGTCTTCCCCTCGAGTCGGGCTGAGCTCGGCGGGCGCGTTTGAGATGAGTTCGTCATATGCCTGATGAGTGCCCCGTTGCTGGTCGCAGACGTGCGGCAGCCGCTCGACTGCGGGCCGATTTGCGACGGACGCCTCGGATAGTGGCGGCGGCGTCTCGGTCGGGGTCAACCTCGAAGCTGAGGGTGTTACTGCGGCGCAGCAGCACGCGTCGGCCCCCATCGGGTTGCACGAGCGCGGAGTCGTGATCGTTGAGTTCTTGGGCGGGATCGGCGGCCTCAGGATGAGCGCGGACAGGCTCGGGGTGCATGCGCCGTGCGCTGGCTGCGCCGAGACCGACGAGGCAGCCCGCGGGGTGTGCCGGAGAAACTGGCTAGGTTTCATCGGGTGGTCGGACGTGCGCAACGTGGCGCGGCGAGAGCTCGAAGATTTGCTGCGCGCCTGTCCTGGCGCGGTCGCGGTCGCGGGCGCGCGTGGCCCTTCCTGCCGGGGAGTCAGTGGACTGAACTCCGAGGCGTTGTTCTCCGATGTGCCTCGGCTGCAAATAGATCTGAGGGTCAGGTTCCGCGACGCCCCTGTCTCCGACTTCTGCGAGAACCTCGTGATGTCGGAGACGATGGCGCGTCGCCCGTTGTGCATTGACTCTGCGGGAGTTAAAATCGTGGCGAGGCCGCGGCTCTACTGGCCAAGTTACCCTGTGGTCGAAACTGATGGGGTCGTGGTCGCCGAGGGTGACATCGTGGACCTCGTCGATCTCGCTGCGCCTGAGCTCGAGCCGCGCGAGTTGCGGCTGGGCGAGGGCCGATCGTGGGGCGCACCTCCTGGACCGAGGGCCCCTCATGCCGCGGGCGAGGCCTCGGTCAGACCCGAGGGGGATTGAGGGCTGCGACGCGATCGCCCTCGAGCACTGGAGTGAGGGCCGCCGCAGGTTGGCGCCGTGCCAGTGCCGGGCGCAGTGTCGCATCGGCGGCGGGAGCTCACCGGTGGCGACGGCGTCGGAGCGAGAGGTCCTCGTAGGGCGTCGGCCGGGGTGCACGCTTGCTGGCCAGAGAGACTTGCGCAAGCTGGAGCCTTGGGGGCGCAGGGAGCACTAGGACACGTGGTGCTCTCAGCTCGGGAACGCGTTCCACGCAGGCCGAGCTCTCGGAGCGGCCGCCGATGCCGTCGATGATCCGGACTACCTTCTGCACATGCGCGGCGAGGCGCGCGACGTGCGTGCTGAACTGGCAGCGGATGGGCGGCGACGCGCCGGCCATGCAGAGATTCGGCGTCGAGCAGCCTCCGAGTGCACAGAGCTCGGGCGAGCTCATGCGCAGCCTGATGTTAGATGTGCCGCCTTGCCGATCATCGTGGCGGCGATGCAAGGCTGGGCATCGGGCTGCCGTGCCGGCGCAGCGCCTGGCCGCGGGTCAGCGTCGACCAGCGCCGCTGGTGCTGGGAGCGCGCAGCGGCCATGCGGTTCCATCGCTCGCGCCGCGTCGACGAGCGGGAGCTGCAGATTGTGCGCAACGCACTGCGGTTGCGCGTGCGCCGCTTCAACGCCCTCGGCGCGAGGGTCTGCCTCTTCGTGTATTCGCAAGTGACTGTGACGGTCGTTGCTAAAGGCTGCTCGTCGTCTCGCCGTCGCTTAAATGCCGTGCTATGCCGCCTCAGTGCCTTCTGCCTCGCGACCTTTAGCGTTCCCTTCTTCGTGTGCGCGCGCCATGCAGGGCGCCATGGGTGCTGAGAGGGCGAGATCGAGCGGCGCCGAGGGCCGCGAATGGGGGCAAGGGGGGCGGCGCGAGCGGCAATGGGCAGGCTAAGCGACAATATTATAACCGAGCGTCGTGTGATGACGCAGTGCATTTGATATGCTGCAGAATTCTTCGAATTGGCGCCTGGTCGGACACTTCGGCCGAGCGTCATTAATTTTGACCAGCTGGACCAGCTGCGTGGAGAGCGCATCGAGTATTTCTGGGGTGAGGGCGAGCCGAAGGGTTAGGCTGCCTACGCCCTCGCAGCGGCGCAGCACTTCGTCCCAGGCGCCAGTTGGCTGCCTGGGATACGGTCGAGTTGTCAGAGCGGGTTTCGCCGTTGACGCAGGCGGTGACGCTGGCAGTGGAAGGGGTGATGTTCGACGCGGGGCGCCCGCGTTCTCGGCGTTTCACTGCGTGCTGCGCGCGTGCGAGGTCTCCGCTATTTTGAAACGTGACATCACGATCGCCGAGACGGGAAAGCATGCAATCAACAATCTTCGTTTCGCAAAACCAGGTCACATGTTTCATTGGCACGAGATTGTAAGCGTCGACGACGCTGTCTGGGTAACGTGGCTCTCCCGAGTTTTCCGGGAGCTCCAGCTTGGGGGCCCCTTGGTGGCCTGACCCCCCCCCAGGGTTTCGCAGGCTCTTTTATGGGGGCCTTCGGGCCCTCGGCCTGTCGGCGCATGGGTTCAAGCCGCGCAGCCCAAGAACGGGTGGACCGACGCATCATAACCGAACGAAGGGGGTATCAACGGGGCCGCCTTGAGAGGGCGATGGGCACGCATCAAAACAGCCCGGCTTTATACTACCGATGCCTTAGTAAAGCTCCAGGAAGCCACGTGTACGTTTCAGGAACTGGAGGCAATCCAGAAATTGAAGGGTGCGGTGGTCAAACCGGCTAGTTAGCCATCCTGGTCTAGCGCTGAGGTGTTTTCTCAGCTGCCCGGCGGGCAGCCCTGTGTGCTAGGTGGGCCTTACTAGCGCCAGCCCGAATGCATGCGCGGGCGCCTCCAGTTCACCGTGTGCGGCTGGTTCGCCAGAACAAATGAAATGTGGAGCGAAGAGGTTGTAGTCTCAGAGACCTGGCCCTGCAGGGCCGCGGTGACCCAGGGATCAGGATCGGGACTGTGCCCCCCCCGCCCCCTGCCGCTGGCGGGAAGGCGCGCGCCCTCTACTGCCTGCCGCATGGAACCCAGGGCCCTTCACGAGCGGTCCGTCGGGCTCCATGGGTGGAGCTGAGGGTGGGGCCCCCGCTTGGGTTCGGACCCCCCGAGGGCCTGAGCCGCGCGGTGACTCCTGGTACTCCCCTTTCGTCGTGGCAGGCGCTTCGGGGTAGTCGTCGTTGGGATTGAGTCTCCCCTTCGGCGTGGCTGGCCCTTCGAGGTGGCCGTCGTTGGGGTGGGCCCCCCCTCGGCGTGACTGGCCCCGCTTGGGTGGCTGTCGTGGGGGTGGGGCCGCCGACGGGGGGAGGCCTGATACCTTCGCCGACGCACGCACGCATCGCTCTGGCGCGCGACTATCGATGATGATGATGATGATGATGATGATGATGATGATGATGATGATGATGATGATGATGATGATGATGATGATGATGATGGTGATGATGATGATGATGATGATGATGCTGATGCTTATGCTGATTCTGCTGCTGCTGCTGATGATGATGATTATGATGATGATGATGATGACGACGATGATACTGCTGATGATGATGATGATGATGATGATGATGATGATGATGATGATGATGATGATGATGACGCTGATGAAAGCTCTCTCTGGATCCAAGTTGGATCCATTTGGCGACAATTTAGCCCATCCACTGGCAGATGCATTGCTGGCGATACTATCTCGTTTTTGATCTTCTGTTTAATTGTGGCAAGGTTGCGCGCGGTATGAGACCTGGCAATGTATCAGTTGAAGCAGTTAATGCCCAATATGCTATCACATTTGGCAGAGATGAACAGGAAAGGAATATGAGCCAAGTTTGCTTGCTTCAATCCTTCAATGCACTTAATATTATCCCATTCATCCGCAATGAATGCTGATTGGCCACATCGCTCAAGTCGAAAGTTGGTTTCATTGCGCTGCGCGGCTTTGTTTTACCATCCTGACGCTGCGACCTTCAATCTAAGCTTGCCCAGCGTCAAAAGGGTTGCTCGACGCAGGGGCGCCTCTGGCGTCAGGAGGCGCCAGGCGAAGCAGCTACGTGAGCTGACACCCCCCCCCCTCACTACCCCGCCCCTGTCGTCCGACCCGATCTTCGAGCCCCGATCTCCTCGACCTTCGAATCCTCGATGCCCCGATCCTCGGACGTCCTGCATCGGCCGCCCACGGCCGCCGGGAGGGCCTCCCGGGGCCGCCGCGGCCTCGAAGAGCGAGCGCGCGCCCGCCAGGTGGCCAGGGCGGCCGAGGAGTGCGAGCGCCTGTGCAGCAGGCGGCGCCCCGGAGGGGCGGGGGGGGGGGGGGGCTGGGGCTGGGCGCTGCCCCGGGCGCGTGGTGCCCAGCCTCGGGGGCCCCCGAACGGTGTGGTGACCACGCCGCCTGGTGAGTCGGTGGGGGCTCGGGGTCGGGCCGTCCTCGGGTCGTTCTCCGGGGACGTCTCGGGCGGACCGCGCGTTGAGGTCGTTGGGGATGCCGACGTCATCACGCGGTCCGTTACCACACGGCTTTGGGCCCCGCTCCCCTCGGCTTGACGAGGCGAAGCGCAATCGTGGACTAGGGCGCGTGGGTTGGAGACGGGCCCCGCTTCTATGCTGCATCGACGCGCTGCGTCGCCAAATCCAGCGCCCCAGCAGGTCCAAGCTCTGTCGGCCCAGCAGGCGCCAGGATTGACAGTTTCAGATCGTCGGGGATCTGGGAGGGTCGGGGGGGGGAGGGGGGCGGGGGGCAGGGCCGCACGGGTCGGGCCCAGGGCAGGGATATTTCGCCCCAGAGCATTCCGCAACGCGCCCAGAGAGCGTTCCGAAGAGCTCTGGGACGGCCGCGGCGCCCGATGTATCCTCCAGAGCTCCAGAGCCGCCGGATCTCACAGATCCCCCATCTAACACTCCTCCATTTTTGACCTGGTCCTGGAACTCGTCCTTCCGCACGGCCCGGGCCCGCGGGCGTTTCTGCCCCCGCCCTCGTCGGGCCGGGGTGCTTTCGGGCTCGCCGGCCGCCCCCGCGGAGCCTCGCGACGGTAGCCCACGTCTCGAGGGTCTTCGGGCGCTGCTAGGGGTGCTGCTGGCGCGCTGCGTCGTCGTGTCGTTTGGGTCCCCGCTGGAGGGTTAGCGCGGATCGGGGCAACGTGAGGCTCGAGGGGAGGAGGAGGAGAAGGAGGAGGAGGAGGACGAAGAGGAGGAGGAGGAAGAGGAGGAGGAGGAGGAGGAAGATGAGGAGGGCAGCGAGGAGGAGGAGGAGGAGGAGGACCAGTGCAGCCGCAAGAGTCATCAATGATGTTGGAACATGCCCTCCCTCCAAGCTCCCTCTTCATAGGCCCCTGCAAGGGGTTCGTTTTCACCGAAGGAAATGCCCCCTTGGGTGACAACCGTTTGCAGATTCTAAAGCGTGCCAAAACACCATTTCCGTGATTTCAACGCTACGAATCAACCTGACTGTTGCGACTAGGTGATCTTGAGTCATGCCAGATCACCATTCCTGGGACTTCAACACCGCACATCAATGTAATTGCGTCCTGGCAATCCTGACTCGTTCCAAAGATCTGGTACGTTAGCCATGAGTCAACGAGGACAAATCCACCCCGACCCCCATAATCGGCGTTTACTAAACGGCCCTGTGCGTTTACTGAACAGCGCTTTCTTGTTCAATTCTTTCGGAGGGTGCGTTTACTACACGGTGGCGTTGTCGGGGTGCTTATTCTCGGGGTGGATCTCCAGCCCTCTAATGAGAGCCAATGGAACTCTGAAGGTTATGTGAAGTGGAAGTGTGCGGCGCTGAGGTGAGAACCGTGTTTTGAAAGGGAGCCGCCCTCAATCCGCGAAGCTCATGCAGTTTGTTAAAACGAACGTACGCGGTGCTATTGCGAGAGCCACCTTTGAAAACGAGCCGCAGCCAATCCATGAAACTCGGGTAAATGTTTTACACGAATGTGCGCGGCGCGAAGGCGATATCAACGTTTTGAAAACGCACCGCCCTCGATCCGTGAAGCTCTTGCAAATGTTTCAAACGAATGTGCGCTGCGGTAGGGCGAGAGCCGCATGTTGAAAACGACCCGCCTTCAATCCGTGAAGCTCTTGCATGTTTTAAACGATGCGCGCGGCGCTAAGGCGAGAACTACATTTTGAAGACCACTCGCCCACAATCCGTGAAGCTCTTTCAAACTTGTAAAACGAATGTGTGCGGTGCGAAGGTGAGAGCCACATTTTGAAAACGACCCGCCCTCGATCCGTGAAGCTCTTGTAAATATTTAAAACGAATGTACGCGGCGCTAAGGCGATGGCCACATTTTGGAAGCGAGCCGCCCTCCATGTGTGATATCGTTGTAACTATTCAAGCTTGAGGCTAATCAGCGGTGGTACTGAGGTCTCAGGCGAGATGCCCGGGCCTCCTTTCTGGCTGACCTCGTTGTGCGACAGAGAGGAGTTATTTTTTTCAGGAAAAGGAATGGAGGAGGCGGAGCAGGAGGAGGAGGAGGAGGGGTGAGGAGGAGGAGGAGGAGGAGGCAGAGGAGGAGGAGGAGGAGGACCTTTGTAAACCCAGCACACGCCAACGATGCTGCAATAAACCCTCCCTCCAAGTTCGCCCCTCATAGCCCCCTCTACAAGGATTCATTTTCACTCGGGAAAGTGCTCCGTTGGAAGACAATCGTCGGACAATCCTGCACCGTGCCAAAGCACCTTTCCTGGGACAGCAACGCCGCGAAATCAACGTTATTTATGGGTCCTGACGATCCTGAGTTGTGCCAGAACGCCGTTCCTGGGACTTCAACACCGCGAATCAACATGAGAGTTGCGCCCCGACTGTCCTGCATCGTGTCACAGCACCATTCCTGGGACGTCAATCGTACGAATTCTTGAACCTGCTGCAGACTCTTAAGACGAATGTGCGCGGCGCTAAGGCGAGAGCCACATGTTATAAGACGACCCGCCCTCAATCCGTGAAGCTCTTGTAAATGTTTAGAACGAATATGGGCGGCGCTTAAGGCGGGAGCCACCTTTGGAAAACGGCTCGCCCTCTATCCGTGAAGCTTTTGCAGTCCGTCAGGATCGTAAGTGGTGAGGACGTCTCAGGCGGAACGCCCGGCCCGCTTTACCGACACGTCTCGGGGTGCGAGAGGGAGGAAGGAAAAGGAATGGAGGAACAGGAGGTTCGAGGAGGAGGAAAAGGAGCGGGAGTAGGATGAGGAGGAGGTGGAGGAGGAGGCGGAGGAAGAAAAGGAGTTCAGAGCAGGAGGAAGACAAGAGGAGGCCCGGTGCTGAGGCGAGAGCCACATTTAGGAAACGACCCGCCCTCCAGCCTTGAAGCTCTTGCGACTTTGTAGACGGATGTGCGCGGCGTTCAGGCGAGAACCACATTTTGAGAACTGACCTGTTCTCAGTCCGTGAAGTTCTCGCTCACAGGTTTAACACGGATGTACGCGGCGCTCAGGCGAGAACCACATTTTGAACCGTGGACTGTTTAGGTTTTTCAGTTTCAGTATCATGAATGGCACATGCGGCCCGTCCTACCGACACGTCTTGGGGCGCGAAAGAGAGGAAGAAAAAGGAATGGAGGAAGAGGGGGGGGTGAGGAGGAGCTCCAGCGGCGCCCGCCGGCCCGACGGGAGCTCAGCCGCGGCCCGCAGCCGAGCTGCGGGCGGGGCGACGCGTCTGCAGCAGGCGTGTGCGACGGCGAAGATGGTGGCGCAGTGCGACGCCCTGTGGCAGTCCATCCTGCGGTCGCGGGCCGCCGGGCGGAGAGTCGGCGCCCTGCAGGCCGAGCCGAGCGTCGAGGAGCTCGACGCGCCGCTGGCCGCCTGGATGGGCGACGAGTGAATGAGCGGGGAGCAGGCGCAGCGCGGGACCAAGGGTCTGTCGGCGGTGAAGTCCTGTCGGCCGCAGTCCGCCCGCGCGGGCGGCGAGGCGCTCCCGCGCTCGGCGCAGGCGCTGAAGGGCCGGAAGCGGCTGGCTCCAAGGCGGGCGCGGCGGCCGCTGCCGCGGGGGGGTGTCGCCCCTCTGCCCCTGGGGCTGCTGGGCGCGGACCTCTGGGCGACGGCGGCCGGGGCCATCGTCGCGCCCCGCTGTTGCCTGAGGCCCAGCGAGCTGGCGCGCGTCACGCGCGGGATAATCGCCCCTCCCACGCGGGCGATCGTCTTGCACCCGTCCGAGGAGCAGGTCAGCAGCAAGACGCGCGAGTTCGACGAGACGGCGGTGTTCGATCTGCCAGGGCTTCAGTTCCACAGCGACGTGCTGGCGTTCCTGCGCCGCGAGACGCCAGTCGTCCAGAGCGTCGCGGGCTTCGACCACGACTGCCTCGCCAGGAACTTTCGCCTGGCCAGCGTCTGCGCGAGGGTCGAGGGCTTGGCCCCAGAGCTGCGCGTGCTTCGCCGCGGCGAGCCAAGCTGCGACCGCGCGGCCCAGCTTCGGAAATTGCAAGAGATCAATCTGCGCGGCAGGTGGCACTGCGACTCCAGCGTTAGGCGCCGCCAGAAGGAGGGGCGGTTCGGGGAGCAGCTGCAGCGGCTGCCCGCGGCCACGCGGGCGCGGGCGATCGAGGCCGCCGCGGGGCCCCCCAACAGCCCTCGCGCGGCCTTCGCTCGCGCCCTGGCCTCCTGGGGTGCCGACCTCATCGAGGCGCAGGTGTTTCTCGAGCTGTTCAGCGGGCACGGGGGTCTATCCGCTGCCTTGCGAGCCCGGGGTGCCATCGTGCTCGAGTGGGGCCGCCCCAAAGGGCCTCAGCGGGACCTCTCAAAGCGCTCGGCGCAGCAGCTGGCGCGCGGGCGGGCGCTGAAGGGGCTCGCGCGGGGCGTCTTCATGGATTCGCCGTGTCAGACTTGGGCGCGAGCGAGGGGCGCGGGGCCACTGCGGGGCCCTGGTCGTCCTCGACGTGGGCTGCCGTCGCGACTTAGGAGTGACCTTCGCGCATGCTGGTTGCCGGAGCTACGGCATTCTGACGACGGGGAGTGGGGCTCGGCAGCGTTCTCGCCGCTTTCTGTTGCGTCATTTTTGAGCTGACGCATCTGCTCTGCCTCCCTGTCGCGATTTAAAATCCTGCCCGCTCGAGGCTGCGGCTTCTCCCCAGGCTGCGAAGATCGCCGCCCTGGAAGGCGCCCCATTTTGCGATCGCCGATCTGTGCCAGCGGGGGGCGGCTTGGAAGAAGCCGGCAGGAATCCTCTGCGACCGCGTGCCCGCCGATGGCCTCGAGCTCCGCCGCCGCGGGCGCCCCCCCGAGCATTATTTTTTGGAGGTGGAGGGCGAAGGGTGAAATCTGGAATGCTGTTCCGATGGATTTTCGAGGCTTGGACCTGCAAAAGGGTGAATCGCAGGACTGACTGGTTTTCGAGGTGCAGAAGTCCAGGTGGACTTCGCCCTGAGCCCCCCACCCTAAGAGCTTGCCCAGGCCTCTGCTCTCGCGCCCGTCGCCCGCGCTCGCCCATTCGCGGCCTGGCGGCCAGGGGGAGCTTCAAGATGAAAGCTGCCGCGAGATATCCGCCGCCCCTCTGCCGCGCCCTGGCGCTCGCCTTTGACCGGGCGCGCGGCGGTGTGAAGACGAAGCGTTTTAAACCTTTCTTCAGCTAATTAGTGTTTGGCCAATGTTTAACATGGGCTATTGAGATGACCGATTGAGTTTCGGCAAGATTGAACGCCTGCACCCTCGTCCCTGGCGCGTGCGAGCGCGAGATTTTCAATATTATGCTCTCTGTGCCGTGGCCTGTGAGCCCTTTTTCAAGCTGTCCAGCGCAATCAGCTGCCGCTGGAAAAAGGGCCACCCCTGGCCCCGGGCTCAGCGCAGGCAGGCATGTTCTATGCTTCGCTCGAGATTGCCGCGCGGGGCTGGGGGGGGGCGCAATCCATTGCCATTTAGGCCCCTCAGTAGTCGCGCCCCCACCCCCCCGCCCTGACGCGCGTTTGCACCCTCGCCCCTGGCGCGTGCGAGCGAAAACATATCCAGATAATATTATGCTTTCTGTGCCGTGGCCGGTGCACCCTTGTCTAAGCTGTCCCGTGCAACCTGTTGCCGGTGGAAAAACGAGCCCCCTGGCCCCAGGATCAGCGCAGGCAGGTGCCCTTTTCCTCCCCCCCTCTCTGCTGCGCACTTATCTGAAGCATCCGCTGTCCCAGGAGTAAGAATGGCGAATGTAGCCACCGATGAAGAGTTATGTGTTTCGGGTCTGCGTGGGGTGGAGTCTGCTAACTTCTCCCCGAAGCCGTCGGCGAGGCTGGGGGGGCGCTCCCCCTGGCAAAGCCCAGACGCGAAAGGTCCGTTGCGACAGCTAAGACAGACGGGCCCGTGGAGAAGGGCAGGGTGGGAAGTGGCGGAGTGGGGGAGGGCTGGAGGTGGGCCCAGACATCCGACGATGTGTTTCGTTTGATGCGCGGCCCCAGGGATCCCGACCCCGTCCCGGATTTTTGTTTGATGGTTACGGGGTCCGACGTAACGGGCCCCGCCGGAGTTCCGGGGACGAGAGATGGGACTTCAACGGGAGCGCTCGGACGGGGGAGCAGAGAGTGGGGAGGTGAGGACGGCGCGGCAGGGCGGTGCGGCCACGGGGCGGGGTGCGCGGGAGGCGGAGGAGCCCCCTCCTGCTACAGGTGTCCTTGCGCCAGCACGCACACGGCCGCCGAGCCGCCCGGGCGGCAGCCTGCAGGGGCCTGCCCGCAGCCGCCAGAAGCAGGCACCAGCTGGGCTTTCTCGTTGAACGAGGGGGAGGAGGAGGAGGAGGAGGAGGAGGAGGAGGAGGAGGAGGAGGAGGAGGACGAGGAGGAGGAGGAGGAGGAGGAGGAGGAGGAGTAAAAGTATGAAGACAAATAATCATAGTAGTAGTAGTAGTAGTAGTAGTAGTAGTAGTAGTAGTAGTAGTAGTAGTAGTAGTAGTAGTAGCAGAAGTAGCAGAAGTAGCAGAAGTAGTCGTAATATTATTATTATTGGTAGTAGTAGTAGTAGTAGTAGTAGTAGTAGTAGCAGTAGTAGTAGTAGTAGTAGTAGTAGTAGTAGTAGTAGTAGTAGTAGTAGTAGTAGTCGTAGTCGTAGTAGTCGTAGT